AATGTACATAAATATTTGTCACCGTTGTATGCCTAGTTATGACTTCATCTTCAAGGTTCTTCATTCGCATATGTGAGTTTTCACTGGCGGAAAGGCAGAAAATCACATGTCACTAAAACAGGGTGGTAGCAAGCATGCCAGCAACTAGCCAAATCGTTAGCGCGTGACAGTTACCACTAAATCAAATATCGTGCTATTTACTTGCATGCCTGACTTGGCATGCAAGTTAACATTCACATATGCCAGTAGCTGGCACGTGACATTAACTGACATGCAAGTGTGTCAACTGAATTATATAGTTTGTCATTTGTTTCGTTGTCATTGAGCATTCATTTGACTTCAGGTCGATGAAGCCACTACACAAATAAACAGAACTTGCAGAGTATTTTAAAACGCTTAAAATCATTTAAAAGATGTTTCTATTCTACTTGATAAAATGTATAGTTAAAGTACCTTATTACTTACACGATGACTTTGATGTTTTTTTATCGCGTGCAAAATCATATTAAGTTACTATATACTACTTCTGTGTTTATGACACATTGATTCCACGATAATCTTACTTACAAAACTGAAAAACGAGGAAAAAGAATCAAGGAAACTACTGTAATAGTTAAAATGCATCACCAAACAGACCCAGCGTGTGTAAATGTTAAAGTTTCAGCAAATAGGTAAATGTAGTAAAATCAAGAGTTTGGTTCATTAGTCCATGATAAGACTAGTCCTCATTTACGGCAGAGAAACATAAAGCGAAACACAATGTACGAACAAAATTTTAATAATGAGCGGCGTGACCAGGCTCGATTAAATCGACAATAAGTGCAAAGCCGACCTCGGTGTGCGCAACCGTCTACAAGATGCTAGAAGTAGGCTGTGTGAGTATGGTCTCGTAAGGACCGTCTGACTACGTTGGAAAGGCACTATAACTTTCACTCGCCACTCAACCATAACTAGGTGGAAATATATACTGAAAAAAGGATAGCCGTCTAGTCTTAGACGGAGATGTCGAGAACATGAGTAATAGAAGGACTAAATAGGAAAACTACAGATTGAAAGAGTTTTACCATTTATCAAAATGTACTTACATTGTAAAGGTGTTTCAATTTAACTGGAAATGATAAATTTAAAAATGATCTACGTGATTCATAAGGAGATATTTCTAGTTACAAAATAATTTCAAACCTTACAATGCCCTTGAATCGTAGGTGAAAATTAGGTGATACCAAGCACCACCAGTTTTAATTTAGTAAAAGTTTAATTAAGCCCGATACAAACTCTGTACTGTTCAGTTGAAACTGTGCTTGAGTAGGAAAAACTCTAACTGTTAACTGACAGTTAAATCCGATCGTATATAGCAGGCCTTAATCTGAATATACGGTGAAAATTTAGTAAGGCCACGACTTCAAAATTTTTGACTATAGATCGATAGTTTAAGATATATTTAAAAATAGATTCAACAGCCAGCAACAATTTTGCAGTAACTTTCGTATTGCGGACGCACATCGGCGTCGATGTTTACGCTGCTCATTTGCCCCTTACAAATATAAAAAAGTAATTAAATGAAAACTCAATTTCCCATTCAACGTCACAGAAATCGATAGAGTCTTACTAATACCAGACTTAGATCATTAGTGCATCATAGATGATACATTCTTTTTTTACTTTTTAAATACCTTTGGTTTTCACGAGGGCCCTTTTGAAACACGAGATGTATGACTCACACCTGACTCAATGATTTCTAAACGGACACGCTGCATCCGTTCGATTGTAATAAAACTGTGTCCACCTGGAAAAACCATAGAGCACAGTAACACTGAAGCGGTCACGAACTAAAAGATATTCAGATTAGTCGATGAAAAAACATATTGACGTAGGTAATGAGTGTTCCATAGGTTTATATATGATTTAGACCTTGACTTATTATACTCAATTTTTAACTTCAATGAGATTTCTATTAATCCCATTTAACTCTCGCTAGTTTTGCATTCTTCGGTCCTTATTAAGGAATTGAATTTGAGTTACCAAAGGTTTAGGTTATTTAACCGATTTGAACATGTATAGTATAGAAGACATATTGTTCTAAATATTAAGATAATAACTATACGAGTATACGCATAAGTTTCAGTTGTTATTACGTTTGACCTACCGGAAAGCACAACAATTATAAACTCATTAAAAATGTATGACTTGCATATTGACTAAAAATGTTCCACAAGTTGTTTACATAAAAGTTCCAATTACTATAGGAAATAAAATGACTAATGACCCTCATCCCTTTTCCATTAGAATGGAAAGATTTTGTGAACTCTTTCAAATGAAGTCAACGGGAAATACAATTGAAATATTCCGCGTTATCTCAGTGGAAAAGTGAGTGCAAAAAAGACGATCAATTTCATGACTACCTCATTTCAATAAGTAATTAATCGATTGAGTCACGTCCCTAGTTTACCGCAATATTCACTTTGATTATGCGTTCACACTTGGTCAGAACAGTTGGACACTTGCAACGGCCAGTGATAGATTGTATGTACTTACTAGCAAGTTAGCGTTCACATTGTGCCTATTGATTGCCAGTCCAGTTATTGAGCGCTGTACCAAGTAAGACGCCGCTTAGTACAGATAGTTTTCAGTTACACTACGATTATTCAGTTTATACTGTGTATACAAAACCTTAATTGTACAGTTCTAGTATTCTACTGACAGTTGAAACTGTTCGACTGTCAAATTAATACAAGTGTAACTTTTTAATTAAATTTACAAATAAAAAAATAATGCAAAACATAGCCTGTGTTACAAATAAATTCCGATCTCAACCCATCTAACGGTAAAAGGTTTTTTAAAATTCACCCAGTAGTTTTTGATTTTCAATATATACGAAAATCAAAAACTTTTCTCTTTATAATATTAGTTATAGTATACAAAATGGGATAGACCACTGAAACTGGAAACTTTTCCCAATCTTTCCACGACAATTTTTCTCTGCGTTTATAATGTGACTAGTCATCTTATGAAAGTATCATCCGTCGATATTGTTGTATAATAGTTTATATCTATTTATGGAAAATTAATTACAAAAACCGACTGTTAATTACTCGCCGGAGGAAAATCAACACCAATCTATTTATGGTAGTGTATTTACCTCGACATCTTGTGTCGGTTGTTGACCGCTGATACTGTTATATAAAGAAATCTCGTTATCATTTTACTAATTTTGTCAAATGCTTTTTCAGATTGTTTCCGCTTAAGACCTTAGGCGCCATGTGTATCTTTTTGTCACATAGTGTCTAGAACACTGTATGTGGCCTAGGAGGTATGAATTTCAAATGAACTATTTCCCAAGCCACATGTATCTAAATGTCACGCGGATAAAAATCCAAGTAAAGAGGGGGAAAATGGGAGTAAACACAATACATAATATATTATGTAGTTTGAAACATTTTCCAACAAAAGAAAATGTTTTTTTTTAAACGCTCTCTTAGGGTCTGGCGCTAAGGGTGTTAATCATACTTATAGGAGAGACCTGGTCTAAAAAGGCTAAGAGAGGAATGAAAGAATCTGGAAGAGGCCTACGTCCACCAAGGACAAACAGATAAAAAAATGAAAAATGTTAATGTCAATTATAATCTTGTAATGTAACAAATGTAATTGTACAATAATTTATCTGACTAAAGGCTTACCAAACTATACTAATATAATAAAGCGTAAACACACACTTCTTTATTGCCTAAGATGTCAGCAATTACAGCATATTTTTGAATAACTCTTTTTTTAATAAAAAGCCCTATACTTGCGTTACGCTTTAGGCTGTATATTTTAAAACCATTAAACTTAGGGGGTAAATATTAGACCATAAGTTGCTGCCAACATCAAGGAAGCAAAGTTGTCATCATGTCATGTCATTTTGACATTTGTTATTGATTATTTGACAAATGTAAACAATGAAATGAATTTTTTATAATTTAATGCGGATGAAGTCGCACGGGAACAGCTAGTATTAAATAAAAAAGAAATCTTAAGGGGACGGAAAGATCTCTTTAAAAATGTGTTGCGGTAACTTCATGAAAGTGTAATCAAACTCAGATACTTTGCAATTCGGTAGTAAGATTATGAAACATTTATGAATAGCTTATTTTAAGTATTAGTTCATCTTTGATCAGTTAAAATATTCATTATTACGTAGTATCTTTTATACTAGCAACTATTAGTTAATTTTAACCGTCCCTAAACGAATTACTGACATATTTCCTTTAAGAAAATAAAGTTAAAACCGCATTTGTACTTGAACGTAGGTCATAAGTGTTAAAAGAAAACTATTAGTATAATAGGTCAAGTTATTAAATTAGACCACATTATAAAAGCTATTTATTATTTATAATTATTTCTTTAAGAGATAATAGCTGTTGTGTTATGAGATTGAGAAGGTTTTTATAGAACTACGTGTCGCTTCAAGCCGGATCTTATTTGGCTGTTTTTGTTTTTGGTATTTAGATACGTTGTAGTCCTTGACACATCAGTAAGGATTTCTTATCTGTCAGATATAAATAGAGCCGGAGAACAAATAAGTGTCCTGGTGTTGGTTGGTGTTGCGGATGTCCGTGGGCGTCGTTGACTACCTCAATGTTTTCGCCGTTCGTTTGCCCCCCTTTATTATAAAAAGTACAGTCGGGGATGTTTATACCCTATCCTACGCAATGTTTTAAAGTCAAATACAAATAGGATCACACACCTATTAACTCCTATGATGGGTTTGCTTACAATATTAAGTCCTGAGTGGGATGTTTTTTTTTTTCTTCAACTGTAATATCCGTCTAACATAAAATTTATACAGTCATATTTAATTAGTTTGTTTTGCAAACAAATTGGTGACATATGAAAGAAGTGTACTTACGCAAACAAAAAGAAATTGACGCGTTGTTGTTTTTTTTTTTGGTAATTTTAATTTCTCAAGAAGTTGATATTTCCTAGCTCTCCTACTTAATATGAACCTTTTACAGGTTTGTATCCAACTGTAGGGGGTACGAGTTGTGTCATGGCTTAGACATTGAGATTCTTACCACGTACCGCAGAGATGTTTAACCACAACTTGCGGTTGCCAACCAAATTGCGGCTACCCGTAATTGTCTAACCCGCCTGGAAGCTCAACGTACGTGATCTTTTTAACCATTGTCAAGTTTTCAGCAAAGTATTTTAAATAGAAATTACATAATAATCATACTCATACTAATATTATAAATGCAAAAGTTTTAGATGGATGGATTGAGTTTGTTAGAGTTTGTAGCCTAAACCGCTGAACGGATTTCGATGAAATTTGGTATAGATGTAGAGGATAGTCTGGAAAAACATATATATATACATACATATACATACATAGCTACTCACATTTGTTTTTTTTTTAAATTTAACTAGTATGTTATAATTTTTATATTCAACCGTGGCTTATTTTTAAAAGGAAAAACACTTTTTTATAAAACATCTGTATATGATTTAAAATAATGTAACATTACTAATCGAAGAATAAATCTGTTTCTGTAAAAATTGGCGAAGAAACTTGTAAAATCCAGCGACATTTTCGAGAATTGAATACGTTATCGTTTTACTAGAAACAATCTGTCGTGACGTCATTGTGGACGAAAACGTGAGAGATGAAGTCATGAATGTAACGCCTGTGACAGCACAAATGATATCTGATTGCATTTGTATTTTCCGTAATTACAATGACGTCCAACTGACCGACGACCACAGGGAAGCGTGAAAGGTTATAAGCTGTACGTGGAAATGCTGCAAGGTGGTATTCGTGGGAACATAGAACATTGATTTACGAAAAATATGTCAAAGATTAAAAAAAACACTTATTATTGTATTAATTTATGTGAGATTTGTTTGTATCATAGACTAGCTGTTGTTCGCGACTTCGCCATCGAATTAAAAAAAAAAAAAGGAAAAATATGGCCTATGTTATCAGCTTCTTAATGGTGAAAGATTAATTAAATAACTCCAGTAGTTTTGGAGTTATTTCTATACATACAATAATACAAACCTTTCCTCTATATAATGTAAATATAGATATAGAAAGGTACGAACGAGCAGAGGGAGCTCAGTAGCAAATGAATATAAGTACTAAACACAAATATTTTTTTTTATCAAAACTTTTACTTGCAAAAATGTATATCCTTACAAGAAATATTAATTGTTGATCATGCACACATAAGGAGACAGCAAGCATTCCATTCAACTTTTTGTTACGGTAATGTAAGTGAATGTCATTATGCGAGATGGCATAATCGGACTATTTTTGTAATACATTCCGCTTGTTGAGCCTCGACCTTGTTCCGGCGCCACTTCGCGCACACCGACACACCGACAACCGTCACCGCACCACACGTCATAGTGACGTGAACACTCACGTCACGGCAAACAAATTAAATTAGTGTTGTCACAGTTTTATTTTGAAATACCACAAATATGTCCTTGTATAAAGTTCATTTTTAACAGTAACTAATAGAATTTATATTCAAACTCAATGAGTTTCTCGTAGATATATTTTTAAACAAAAAAATACATAGAAAAAATCTTTTAATTCTAATTATTATAGAATGTATTTATGTGCTTTAAAAAGTTTTAAGTGTTTGTATTAGATAAAATTCCCAACAATCATGGGAAAATGTTAAACACATGGTAACACTCTGAACAAAGCGCTGTTGCGTCACTGCACGTCTGTCATGGTTGAGATAGTGGGTATTTCAAAAACTTCGCTTAATTAAGAACGCGGCAACGATGACGTTTCTCATTCAGTACCGGGAATATCTTCTGGACAATCGATTTTCAGAACTTCGAACGGAACTGGGCTTCGGTTCCTAAGCATCAAATTATTTTTAAATTAATTTTATTTACAATTGTAATGCATTATTGAGTAATTAAAAATATCTTTAAGGTTCTTTTGTCAGTATCTAAACTACTTGGTTAAATCGGCTAGTTAGGGTAAAAGTATTTCATGGCTATTACATAATTACAAAAAAGAATAAAAAAGCTCAAAACTAATTTTTAAATAAAATGCCTAATAATTTTAATTCATTAAAAGCCAGCAGAAGGTGTTCTGTATTATTTACAAGTTTCCGTTTTAATTAGATCTCATGATGCAACACTAATAACTTAACCAACAAATTAACATTAACTTATACCTTTGTATGTTTGTTGTTGTATAAAAATATTTCAATCATATAATACACTAGTGCCATCTATTATTTGTTTCAGTTATAAAATATTACTTTGAGAACTGTTCATGCGACATCTAGCGACGAGTAGTGCATATATAAAAATATTTTCCCCCAAATACTAATCACCATAGTACCAAAATTTTAAATTTAATTAAACAAAATAATTAAAACCGTGCAAAAATACTATGTGAATTAAAAAAAACAATTAAAAAGTAGAGTTCCAAAATAAAATAATTTGAATACAGCGCCATCTAGCACGTAACAGCAAATTGTATTAACATTCAGAAAGTTCTTTTAGTTCAGGTAAATAATATAGTCGCCTCGATTAAATTCATATTTCGAAAAAAATCATTTTAAAAACATTTAAAAAACAGGCTCAAACTAAAATAATTGCAATCGTTTACCTACACATGCTAAGATAAAAAAAAAAAAAACTGTTGCTCAGACAGAAATTACCATTAATCGCTTTGCATCAACTGTTCAAATATTTAGTAATAAATGTATTGAAGATTTAAAGTAATTAAAATTCATTCGCGTGCCTCATTACATTGTTGTTTTGTTTTTTATTCGTATCGATTAATCGCTTCACGAAGTACCTTTATGGGTTGTGTTGTGAATGGAATGATGGATGCACTTATGTATGTTCATTAGCTTGTAACAGACGCCCCACACAATATTTGTAGAAACTAATGTAATTTCGCTGATGTAAATACAAATTTCTACAAGTAACACTTGTACTACTCTATTGACATAAATTGTCATTTGCAGAATTCCGCAAAAATATATATGAACGAGTCGTCGTAAACTTCGCTAGCGGGGAATTTAAAAAAGATGGTAATCTATTCCAGCCTGCATTCCTTCTACCAGGTACCTTCCAGTCAAGTTCCCGTAAAAATCGGTGCAGCCGTTCCAGAAATAACGGTCTAATCAAAATCGGCTGAGAGATTATCCAGAAGAACCGTGGCTGGCGGACAGATATACAAAAAAATATATACAGTAACGCAAATACTTCTTAGCGAAATTTGGAATTTGTCTATAAATATTACAGACACTCCAATTTTATTATATGTATAAATGTATAGATACTAAAGGATTACTTACAAAGTGTAAATCTTTCGTTAAAAAAACGATAAGTTCTACCGATGAATACCTTTCACGACATAAATATCACGGGAAATATCGATTTTTAAACATTTTATAACAAATTATTTTTCGGCTCTTACTCACGTTATACTTTTTTTTTCCGGTGACGGCTTTAATTAATTTATTTAATTCTAAACGAAAACATGCGAGGTGATTGGTGGTTAAGTTCACGCTACATTTACACTCACATCAATGAACTTGTAGGTGAATATTGATATTTAACAGTTACTAGAATAGTCTTCAACATTGTTTTTCCACGCGCTCAGTGTCATGGATGAAAGCTAGTTCATAAAACTTAAAGATCAGGAACATCATTGACATGATGATTGGCGTGTTATTCGAAAATGTTAAAAGATTCCAACCGTTTTTTTAATAATTACTTCCACCCTCTGTCGGACTAATCGAACACTAGTTTCTCAAGCCATCCTTGACTGCCAGCATTGTGGAACGATATCAAAGTTTTTTTAACATCGCTAATCGGCGCTGTAATCGCTCTTGTCGGTATAAAAAATTTAATTCCCAATGGATCAATACCAACGTTAAACGCTTACAAATGGAGAGTGCTTTGTAGTCACCGGCAAATCGTGTACGCTGCCCGTTTTTAATTTGCCTCGGGAAATCGTAGAGAACCAGCATATTGCATATCTACAGAACGAATTTATTCACAAATTGGCATTTTTAGCACCCAACTGATTAGGCCCGGACTGATGACAATGTCATATTTTTGTAAACGTCTTCATGAATTCGGATGAAATATAATGTAATAAATACACAATTTGCCTAGACAAATAATAAACGTGCGACTTACGCGATTGTTCGGTGACATGTCCAATTATTTGTGCGAACGCCGAGCATGCTATCGGCTAGTCCGTTGTCTTTAACTACATATCATGAGGTTGCTATTTAGTTCTTTAGCTCTCTCTGTGGTAATGAGCTCTTGATTGCCGCGGTATGAGGATGTACGATTTAAACAGTATACCTTTAGATCCGTCTCCATGTCCCTTTTAATTTACTTATGTTTCAGATGAGAATAACTTTTCTTAGCTTCTTCCTCTAGCGACCCACATAATGCGATAAGGACAAATGGTGCTTCTTTTTAATCTCTTCATTCAGGAAGATTTATAAATGCGGTGGTTGCATGATGGAAGATAACTCCAGAACGTCTCAAAGTATACAGATGAAATATAGCATTGATATAGTACCTAGTATCGAAGAAAACAGCCAGTTGTTAAGTTTTTTTTAAATTATCTGTGTTTACACTAGTTACTTCATATAACTTGAAATTGTTTTGATAATTTACATATACAAAAATACAGTTTTAGAGATTAAAAAGAAATAATTTATTATCATATACCACTCGCCGTTAAACTGATAAAATATATTGAATCCGTGCCAACAGTAGTTCAAAGTGTGTTATTTTGGGCAATTCTAAAATATCTAAATATAAACTCAACATCTGTCGAATTTTCAATATGTATTTTTTGTGGAAATTATTAACTTTATATAATGTATTTTCAGTAGCTTGGTGTCATTAAATAAGAGGACAATAATGTAGTTTCATTATTTAAACAAAGACCTTGATATAAGACGAGTAGCCATTCATGTTCATTAAGTTTAAAATTGAATGGCTACAAAGGTAAGGCTACGAGCAAAATATTGAGTGATTTTTTATATCATAAGGTGGCAAACGAACAAGGGGCCACCTGAATCTGCCAAAATGGCGAAGCGACCGCTCCGCATAGACATTCGAAATAGCGAATAAGTTCCCTATTGTTAGGCGACGGAGGAGGACACGCACATAAAGTGGCTATTTACCCTCCCTGTGCGTCTCCTCCACCGTCAAATGCACGTTTTCATTCCATCCTATTCTTGTGAGACAAAGGGTGGGAAGGAAAACGGACTAAAGCAGAGCCTCCGGCACTACACTCGTCAGACGAAACGCGAATCGCTCCCACTTCACGCCTGTATTCTGTGTGATTGTGGTATGTCACCGGGCAAGCTCTACTACTGTTAATGATAATATGAAACGGGATATGCTAAATCTGGGAGTGAATTCAGATATCACGGATGACAGAGATGCGTACATACCGTACCGACCCTTCTTAAGGAGAAAGTCATGTTGAAGATTGTTTACACAAAAACGTATCGCAAAAGTTTTATTTTTCTCATTGATTTGGTTAAAAGCGGCAGCAAATCGGCTATTTATAGACTTTTAAATAGCAAAATCCATGCGTGCATTTATTACGCTTTGCTCTTAGGAAACTTATAATGTAGTTTTTGTAAGGAATAATACAAGTTAATTGATCATCATAATCGCAGATAATGGCTTAATTGTTAACTTTATTGCGATTTCTATTTCATAATCAAACATTATATATATTGCATGCAATTTTTGTTAAGAATTGGGACAATATAGTGCCATAAACAGTTCTTTTTGTCTATGAAATGTAAACCTTCCATTAATGGTAATCCAGTAAATGATTGCGTTACGTTTTGTAACGCATGTTTTTAATTTAAATTCCCTTCTAGGAATAACATTTTAGGGAAAAATACATATTGTTAAAATTAAAAACAACCTTATTTTTCTTTTTTAAACTTATAACAAATATACGTGAATTCATTTTCGTAATTTATGATTAAAATTTGGATTAGAATTGCGCACCGCCTACCGGCTGTGATCATCAAGATATCTCATACGTTTTCTCGATAACGTTACGAATACGATCTTCAAATGTCATGCAAATATTCTTTATACACCCACTGCTCTATTTATATGCTTCCGTTCATTAGAACGACGAAGACGTCATGTGACGTCAGTAGTTAAGAATTGATATTTGTAAAATTATCATCATAACTGTGGAAAAGTTCGTTAGCCTTTTTAATGATTTTTAAAATTAGCGCTTGACAACAGTTTTTCGACAGAAACGATAGTAATGTTTAAATTATTTCTTATCCAAAATTATTCACGTACGCAGAAATGTTACTAAAATTGTAAAGATTATCATTTTAGATGAATTAGGGAATATGTTGGTGAAAATATAAATGTCGGGTTTTCCCGTTTTTGACCGACTTCCCAAAAGAAGGAGGTACTCAATTCGTTAAAAAATGATGTATGAAAGAATTGTAGCTCATTCAATTAGCTAAATTAAAGTCCGCGATAGCATATATCTATCTCTTAAGGTTGCCGCACAATAACCATTTGTTTCGCGAAAACCGTCAAATAAATGCAATCGACTTCATTTTAAACGCTTTTATTCTTGTTTGGTATGAATCTTTATCCAAATAAATATGATTTCACGATAGAGTATTAAATGTAGATCAGAATTGCCTTTAACAGTATGTAATTCTGACCGAGATTCTAGAAGTTATCAAAATATTAAAACTCACGGGCAACAGCGGCGCGCGGCTGGATAGAATTATGAGTGAATGATCGCAACGATGTGTTAGTTCTTTACTAAATTTCTTAGATAATCGATTTTCTAGATAACTCATTCTTTGCTTGAAAGCTGGTGATTATCACATGTGTTTTAGATGTTTGGATGTTTAGATTCACTAAAAATCGAGAAATAAATAAACTTTTAATTAAAAAAACAAAATACACTAATGACAAAATATTCTCAAAAAAAAAAACAGTTGACTAAAAAGTAACGAAATAATTCCTTGAAAATAGTGAATCTACCTTATTGTAACTGTTATGTCTATATTGTACAATTATTATTACTTTGAAGTCGGTGTCAGTCAATTTAGATGTTACTATACTTTCAATTGTCAATTGTTATGGTAAAAATGTGGAAACACTTCGTAGAAATATCACTGCATACCTCGGCTGACACCGACTTTAAAGTAATAATAATTGTACAATATAGACATAACAGTTACAATAAGGTAGGTTTACTATTTTCAAGGAGTTATTTCGTTACTTTTTAGTGTACTGTTTTTTTTTTTGAGAATATCTTGTTTTTAGTGTATTTTGTTTTGAAGTCGGTTTTGTTTTTTTTATCTTACTATATACTAAAGACGTTCGATAAAGTAATAATGTTCGTTAAGTATTTATATTTAAATTGAAATGAGATAATAAAGACTGACCTAACCTATAAGTTATTTTCGGATTGTTGTTGTAAATAAATTATCTCGGTTGTCCAATAATAGTAATTCAAGGAAACTGCTTGTTGACCTTTCAAAATTCCGTTACAATTTAATTTAAAATTTTGTCCGTTTTATCAGGTGTACGTTATATCAAACTTGTTTTAACTCAATTATAAAAAGACGATGAATATACGATAAATATTCACGTTTTTTTCTAATTTTCGAAACAATCATTTGTTCAGTAGTTTATACATGTAGGTTTGGTCTGGTGAAGGAAAATAAAGTATCTCCTCCTGGCCTAATTTAAGTATCTTACTCCTTACCTTACCACCCTTTTCTCATAAGGAGAGGATGGGAAGGGGAAGTGGATTTGTGGAGGCAACGCATCTGCAATTACGGATGTCTATGGGTAGCGGTCGCTTCGCCATTTTGGCGGATTCGGGTGGCCCCTTGCTCGTTTGCCGTCTTATGTTATAAAATATATATATACTAATACTAGATTTCCCCCGCGAATCTGTCGGCGTGGATGTAAAACAAAATAAAAGTGAATAGCCTATGTGTTCTTCCAGACTATCCTCTATATCCATGCCAAATTTCATCTAGATCCGTTCACCCGTTTAGGCTACAAACGCTAACAAACATCCATCCATCCATCTAAACTTTCGGATTTATAATAATAAGACTATAAAGAGGAAAGATTAGCATTTTTGTATGTATTGAAATAACTCAAAAACTACTAGACCAATACCAAAAATTATTTTACCATTTAAAAGCTACGTTATCAATGAGTAACATAGGCTATGTTTTTTATTGCACGCGGGCGAAGTCGCGAGCTGCAGCTGGTAGTAAGATAGACTTGGAGGTGAATCTTTAACTATGGTGCAAAGAGCCACAAGTATAAAATCTCAAAGCTTATTTAGTACATGTGCATTCAATGCCGCGTGCAAAAACACATGTCAATTAGCACGTGCCGAGCAAACTCGCAATCGTGATTTGTCTAACATAGTGGCTTCTTTTATATTCTGTATCTGGAATTTAACATTTTATCTTTACGATTTAATTTAATGCTCTAAGCGCATAGATCAAAGATTTAAACCAAATTAAGTATGCGGTTTTAATTAAATCATTAAGAGGTAACTAATATTTGTAACGACGTATACGTCGAGTTTGAAAATGTAGGTGCTAAATGTCAAATGGTTTAACCAATAGGCTGCCAAATTCAAGGAATATAAAGTAAATCACGCAAATACTTATTTGACAGACTAGTTGTTGCGACTTCGAACGCGTGATGCTTTTTTTATATAAAAGTAGCTTGTATTAGTGATAATGTAGCTCTTTAATGGTACAAGAATTTTTCAAATATCCAGTAGTTTTTGAGTTATTTCAATACGTACAATCCATAAATACAAATCTTTCCTCTTTATAACATTGGTACAGATAACAGTGGTAGTGCCCGCTTTAACACCTTAGCACGAATAGGCCGGCACGCCCGGTGTAATACCACGACCACACAGAAAACAGGCTTCAAATGGAAGCAATTCCGTGTTTTGTCTGATGAGTTTGGTGCCGGAGGCCTATTTTTAGTCCCTTTCTCTTTAACACCCTTTACTCACAAAAAGAGGATGGGAAGAGAAAGTGGATTTGACGGTGAAGGATATGCATAGGAAGGGGAAATATCCTTTTTATGTGCGTCTCCTCCTCCGTCGGATAAGGGTAGGCAACGCATCTGCAATTGCGGATGTCTATGGGCAGCGGTCGCTTCGCCATTTTGGCGGATTCAGGTGGCCGCTTGCTCGTTTGCCACCTTATGTTATAAAAAAAAAAAGATAGGTATAGGTTAGTATTTTTCTGTATTTGTATTGAATTGATGGCGTAGGGCGTCGTCCACCCAGGTGGACCGACGACTTAGTGCGCATGGCGGGAAGTCATTGAATGCGGAAGGCGGAGGACCGCATTCTGTGAAAGATATTGGGGAAGGCCTATGCCCAACAGTGGGCTGATAAAGGCTGATGATGATGATTGAATAGATATCATTCTATAGCCAGTATTTATAAGGCAGATGTTGAATAATAAATGCCAGTTCAAAATCAGTTTGATTTGTTAACAGAAAAAATAACAAGATTTCATAAAAATAAAAAAAAAGGCGAACATTATAAGTATGTCGTATTACTCCTATGTACAGATAATTTATCTTACAAGTATATACTTGTAACGGAAATCTTATTAATAAAGTGATTAGCATCGATAAATTGTTGCAATGTTTACATTTTTATGAAACAACTAGATTTCGCCCGCGACACAGTCGGCGTCGAATAAAAATTGAGAAGTCTACGTGTTCTTCCAGACTATTCTCTTCATGCTAAATAT